GAGGAAAAAACTGTCTGTTCCTCGATTAAACCACTTCATACCAGTCATCTCACGATGACCATGGGATACTGATATTACAGTTGTCTCTAGCTGGAGACTCAATCGGGTTACAAAAAATGATGTCAGGAAATGACACCTCTGGCCATTTCTTTGGGTCGTTTGTAAAGTCACAGATACTGTACGGACAATACAGCTCAGTTTTTTTATGTATCTTGCTCTGTTAAATGGAAAAAGTGACTTTACGTAGGCCATACTGGATTAACACCATGCATTTCCTGTCAAAAAGCCGCGCCCCCAGCTATCACATGACCCCGACCAAGTCCATGGTTGACACCCTCTCATTAGCATGTTGTGCAGAGGAGTGGAACTATTGGAACTATATTCAGAAATAAATGAGTGATCAAAGGAAAATAAATAGGATGAGTTTAGCAACATTTTCCAAGAACCTGCACCAGCATCACTGACAGATGAAGAGGAGATTGCCACAATACCAATATTAAAATCCAACAGGGAAAATAATAATTTGTTGCTTTTGTATTTGTAGAACATAAAGATGACCAAATAAATTGTGAATAATTTGTGTTTATTTAACAGCTGTGGTGGTGGTTACGGCATATATCTTGCACTACCCTGGCATCTGGCATCCTTCCATTCCATACAGTAATCAGCTTCATTTTCAGAAGGTGAGATGCTGAGAAGTAATCAATGATCAATGCATCCAACCACACTGGAAATCCTAAAGGAAATTCTAATTATTAGGTTACTTAGAGGTTGCAACAAGATGTTATCAAGTGAATATGCATGTGGATATGGCAAAATAAATAAATTAGATCAAATTAAATTAAATCCTCTCCTGATGTAAATGTAATTCCCCGCGAATGAATGCAACCTACAGGATCCCTTATAAAAAGACATGCCAATTTTGTCACATTTACCGTGTCTGCATGATGAAAATGAAAGTGGTCCGGTAAGACAAATAATCTTGTTTCCATTTTCATTAAGATAATTTTTCTTACACCGCTGGCAATTAATTTTACTTGTTTATATAGAAAATGCATCATGATTTAAGAATTTTTAGATATTTTAACTTGAAATAAGGCAAAAATCTCAGCAATAAAAGCCATTTTTGCAGCGTGAATGAATGAATGAGGTATTTAAACATCGCTTACTCTTTAAAAAGGGGGAGGAGACCGAAAGAAACTCTGGGTTTACCGAAGAAAACCTGCTCCCGACCAGGGGTGTGTTTCCCGTACAACTACGTTAAACTCGCTGATTAACCACCATAGTACGATGCATCGTTGTGGAAACGAACTAGCTAGTCACGACTGTTTCCCGAAACCATGGTACCTGTGTCGCAGATCCATCGTTTAAACCACGTTGATTTCAGCTGTCGTTATGACGTTGTTCTTCTTCTTCTTCGATCTAATAGCCGACTAGTGCCATGAGCATATACCGCCACCTATTTGGTTTTATTTTCTCTTTTCTTTGACTCGAATTACGCTTTTGAAATGACGTTAGGTAGGAGTGGAGTAGCTAATAACGCAACATTAATTTGTTATGCAATAAATTATATACATACACACACAGAGTTAAAAATGTGCTCTTTTCTGATCCCAGTGTCTATAATTTCACAATTTCATATAAATACCGTTTCTTATTTAATATTGATAGGCTACTTAAGCACAATTGAAAAAAGATGGGTTTTGTGGGTTTACTGAAGAAAACCTGCTCCCGACCAGGTTAGGTTCACAGAGTAAGTTACTATGGTAACTTACCATAGTAAGTGTTACCATAGTAACATACCATAGTTACTATGGTAACTTACCAAGAGGTTAAGTTTTGTCTTTTATTGGAACCGAAAACACTGAGTTTCCCTTTTCAGGGGTTAACAAACTCTGAGTTTCCAACAAAACCCACTTTCTGGAATACACCCCTGTAGCAATAGCCAAACATGCATTGTATGGGTCAAAATTATAGATTTTTCTTTTATGCCAAAATTCATTAGGATATTAAGTAAAGATCATGTTCCATGAAGATATTTTGTACATTTCCTACTGTAAATATATCAAAACTTCATTTTTGATTAGTAATATGCATTGCTAAGAACTTAATTTGGACAACTTTAAAGGCGATTTTCTCAATATTTTGATTTTTTTGCACCATCAGATTCCAGATTTTCAAATAGTTGTATCTCAGCCAAATATTGTCCTATCCTAACAAACCACCAATACATCCAAACAATACATCAATAAAAAAAAAACAAAAAAAACAATACATCAATGGAAAGCACATTTTTTCATTTATATGCATAAATCTCAATTTAAAAAATTGACCCTTATGGCTGGTTTTGTGGTCCAGGGTCACAAATAGATTTAGCAGTATACTGGGTCATTTGGAGCACTTCATACTGCTTTGAAATGCATGTTGATGCACTAAATTCTTTAGGAGGTATGGGAGATTATAATCCAAACATTTCATAAATCTGCCACTCAAAATGTGTGGTTACGCTTACATTACTGTGCATCAATCAGAAAACAAGCCGATGTAGTTAACTGTGTAAATGTTTAAATTCCACAGCATGCCACATACAAAAACTAGCGATAATATAAGTATTTTTACATTTTTTAAAGAAACTATTTTTTTTATCATTTGAGAAATGCGGTTCATGTAATGTTTATTGATGAAAATTGCTTAAACAAAAAATAGGGATATGATGTAATGTTCTATTTGTGATTTAAAACAATATAGGCCTATATATAGGCCTAACCTTATTTATTTTACTTAAATCGTCAATGGAGGGCGTCAAAGAAATCTCAGATCAAATTTTGATGGAAAAAAGTGGTCTTTATTAAAAGAAGAGAACTTTTAAAATGTCATAACAAAATACCAAACATGGTCAAAGCTTCCGTTTAAAAGTATTCAACTTCACAAGCATATCGGTTCCTCTGAACAGGTGCTGGATCTGCAGGGCCACCACATAGCCTACCAGGTCTCATGAAGATGCGTATAAATAGTACGCCAAATAAAAACGAAAACTCGTGGTATTGATACGCAAAAATTGACTTTGGCGTGCATATGATACGCATGTGTTTGGCGTGCATATAATACGCAGTTTTCGCGTGCATATGATACGAAATTTGTTGGCATGCATATGATACGCAGTTTTCGGGCGAGTTTTCGTTTTTATTTGGCGTACTATTTATACGCACTTTCATGAGATCGGGTTGACACAAGAGCGGTGTGTCTGACAAAACTGCGCTTCACGAGTCAGTCTTCTCGCCCTGAGGCGGATCCCGCTGCAGCTCAGCGCCCGTTTCCCGCAGAGTCACCTGTGGTCGGTTGCCATGATAGCCGTCCGATTCAATCTACAAGACAAACATGATTGTTCAATTAACATGTTTTTTTCTTCTCAGTGTTATAGTAGTAAACATTTGAAGTGGATTAAATCCTTTTATCAAAGTTGTCCTAAAACCAAAACAATACAGACAACTTTGATTAACTTTTTTGAACCACTTCAAATGTTGACTATACTGTAGAAAGGAGGTGTTTTACACACCTCCTCTGTGTCACTCTTTGGACTTCTTCTCAGCATTCTGGAGCTTCTCCACTATTTTGCGCTCGTGTCCCGCAGGGTTGTGTTTGTTCGTGTTACAGCTCGCCTCCTTCTTCGTCCGGCCCTTGCGACTAGCGCACTCTGTAGTCAACACACAAAACAAGTCAGTTACAAGTACGGGTTTAAACGAAGAACTAATTGCATACATTATGAAGAACGTTCATAACGAACGAAACGCTTTAAAAATGAATTCGTGTTGCCAAATGCATAAAAAGCCGTCATGGCAACACTACAACTCAAAAACACCACTTTTTAAAAACATTTATAGAGTAGCTTAATAATAGCCTAATAATAATAAAGCGTTTTAAAAACTTACCGGTATAACGGTCTGCACACACACACACACACACACACACACACACACACACACACACACACACAAGCAGGTCAGTAGACTAACTAGACATTATGGAGAACGCCGATAATGAACGAAAGCTCTTTAGAAAGTAATTCGTGTTGCCAGATCCACAAAAAAGCTGTCATGGCAACACTGTAGCTACACAACTCCCAAAAATACTTTACTTTTTAAAAACATTTTATAGATTAGTCTAATAATAATAATAATAATAATAATAATAATAAAGCGTTTTAAAAAAAAACTTACCAGTATAACGGTCTGTTAAGTTATAATATTCATATTCATCGTAGTAGCGGTCCTCAAAAGTGGTCGGCTCAATGTTTTTCACGTCAACGTGGTTGCTCATTTTGTCAGCGATTAGCGAAACTTCTGGAGTAACAGCGGATAAACACAAGGAGAAGTTGTGCAAAAAATATGCGATGTTCAGTTATAGATGTGTTTCTGAAAGTCCTCTTTCTTGTCCTCGGTTCAGCGTTGTTTGCAAGCCTGCAAGTTACCTTCTTTTAAAGACGTGGCTCCGCCTTTGGTTCCTCAGCTCCCCGCCTATGGATGGGTCAACACGACCAGAAGTAAAGTTGCATCAGATGTGAGTTAATGTTTTATCAGCATAGCTACTTCACCGACTGCCAGACAGGATGTCCTTCAGAGCAGATGACTGTGTTTTTGTTTTGACTTACACTTTTGTTTCATATTTTCACTTGATATGGATCTCAAACTTAGGCCTAACTGTCTGTTCATGCTGTTCTTTTTACATTTCAGGAAGACAAAACAACACATTTTAAACATTTAAATTAGTCTAATATTTCTGTTTTCATTAGCTAACTCTCTTTCTCCCTCAGTCTGAGCGTTTACTTATATCTGATAAAGATTAGAAAGATTAGATTAATTTAGTTAATGTTTGTCTCTCTCTTATTTACACCTGACGTCCCCCGGTGGACTGTGACCCACTAACCTCCTCTATTTTAAAGAAAATATTGTCTTTAGGGAGTGCGAGACTCATTTCAATAGCCTTTTGTGTGAATGTCTATTTTCAGACTAAAAGGTTTGCTTATTCACTGTTGGAGATCTACTCCAGACGATTAGTTTGTCAAAACAGGGTACTGTATTATATAATTTGACCGACTATTATAGGAAATTGTCTTTGAATTGCACCTGCTGAAAACTATAGCAGAAGAAATGCCTTTTGTTTTTATTGTAGTGTGAGTTTATTCTGTGTGTCATTGCTGCTTGCGCGCCTAATATCTGTACAAACTCATTGAATGTGTGTGTAATCAAGCATGACAAAATGCACTATGGTGGCTACTGTCATCAGCATAGAGGATCATATGATGCAATCTGCCACAACTGGCAAAATCCACATCCTCCACTGGCAAAGCAAAGCCCAATCCATCATTCAAGATTCACTGCAGTCCGGCCACAAGCTGTTTTGTTCCTTGCCGTCGGGCAGTCATTATTGCACCATCAAAGCAAAGACTAGCAGACGAAAGCTTCCACCCTATTGCAGTTCATAGACTAAATAACATTTTCAGGACATGTTCAAGGTTAACCTGGTTGAGATGATCTCTTCTCTTTACCTGTATTTTAAGTTGGTTTAATTTGAGCTCCTGAACATGAGTAATTCCCCTGTGTGTTTTGTTGTTGTTGTTGTTGTTGTTTTGTTGCGCGCGCGTGTGTGTGTGTGTGTGTGTGTTTTATAAATGTTAATTTTGTGTATGTATCAATGCATGGATGTGTGTATATGTATTTGATATATATGTATACACTGTAAAAAAAATTCTGTAGTTTTTACAAAATAATTTTGGCAGCTGTGGTTGCCAGAATAGTTTTGTAAAAAATACAGAAAAACTGTAAACACATTTACGGCCCAAAACTGTAAATTTTACAGTATAAAACTGTAATTTACAAACAAGAAAATTTGAATGTAAACCAGTAAATTCAACAATGCACACTTATAATATAAGCGTATGATATGTTTTAGAAAGAGGTGCATCATTTAAACCATTGGTCTTAGTGATTTATCTCTCTAAAAGACTGATAAAGTCCCCAACAGTTCTTCCTCAACAAGCCGTTTTGAAAACATGTCATGAAGTTTGTCCCTTCAATGTGCCCGTACAAGGCCTAGCTCGAGCTAGCCAATCAATGCAAAGGGAAAACAAATCCTAAAATTAGTCAAGCAAAGCGAAACTGTAATAAATAAATGTTTTTTGTTAATAGTTCGTGTATTAATGCATAAGGTGAGTCTGGAGAGCATCGCGGAACTGTGTGTTTGAAAGTGAGATTCACGCTTTTCTTGCTTATCAATCTGTGCGCGCGCGGAGGGTGTGATCTGAGCTCCATCCAGTTAATGGCGCTCTGTTATGTATGTGGATTTGAGCTACATAACACCTAAACCTAGATGCATTATTAATACAATTATTGCATTATGGCAATATTACTTTAGTTTTGTGCAATGTCAGTGGTGCCGTTTAATTTTATTTCTTTAATATTTATATGTCTTCCTGAGGGTTATTTACATGTAAGTTACATTTGAATTCCAGTCTTAATAATTCTGGTTAAAGCTAACCGAAATAACGTTTTTTCTTGCAGGTACAATGGCTTTAGTGTCAGCAGACACCAAAATCGCAGAGTTGCTGAATGAGCTGCATCAGCTCATAAAGCAAACTCAGGTGAGCACTACTCTGTTGTCCCATGCATGATCACTGTAGTTTGAGTTTATATGCTTTAGGACCTCCTTTTTGTACACTTTACCCCCCATCCAGTGTTTATACCCTAATCTCTCTTAAAAATACACAGGAAGAGCGATCAAGAAGTGAACACAACCTTCTCAACATCCAGAAAACACATGAAAGGATGCAAACAGAGAATAAGAGTAAGACATGAATTCCTATCGCATTGTTTACAACGAGAACAAGTCACATTAATATTAAGTTAATAATTGTAATAATTAATTGCATAAAGAGAATAAGTAGTGTTCAATACGGTCAGACTAGATCTCTCTTGTATTTATGAATTTAATTTCTTGTCTGCTATTTCTGTTCCACATTAAATCTGCTTATATCTTCCTCAGCTTCTCCATACTATCGGACAAAACTGAGGGGTCTTTACACTACAGCTAAAGCTGATGCTGAGGCTGAATGTGGGTAAGTTGATGTGAAAGTTGCTGCATTTTGGCTTCCCTTTGCAACTCTTTACATCAATGCAAAGGATGGAGCTTCACTTTAAAAAATACTTATAAAAGATGATTAACTAAATAATCTGTTCTTGACATTATTCTTTTCATTGTTGACTATTTTGTTTTCTTTTTACAAAAAAAGCTGGAAGATCTTGAACATCTTGTAGTTGTATAGCCCCATCTTGTGGAATTTTTGCCAAGGCTCCCAGATGTATGCTGACTGGAAAGACAGACTTGTTGAATATCCTATAAAGCCTACTGCATCATACTTGATGCACAAATTTCTAAATTATCAAAAAGATCAAAACTTTTAGCAAGGTACTTGGTACACAAGTATTTTTGCTGTGAAATCTTTACTGGTTTTTATAAAAGAAACTTAAAAGAATAACTTTGATATTGTTAATAATATTTCAAGATTAACATTTACTGGATTGAATAACTTTGTAATTAGCCTTAAATCATTTTTTTTTTTTTTTTTTTTTAAAAAAGTCCTGTTAA